GTAATACTGTGAGGGAGGGGGTGGGATACTGTGAGGGAGGGGGTGAGGGAGGGGGTAATACTGTGCTAGAGGGGGTAATACTGTGAGGAAGGACGGTAATACTGTAAGTGAGGAAATACTGTGAGGGAGGGGGGATACTGTGAGGGAGGGGGTGATAGTGTGAGGGGGGAATGCTGGGAGTTGGTGGGGTGATAGTGTGAGGTAGGGCGGTGATAGTGTAAGGGAGACGGTAGTACTGACAGGGAGGGGGTAATACTGTGATGGGGGATATTGGGTGATATTGAAGGGGGTAACTGAGAGGGAGGGGATATATCGGGAGGGGGTGATATTGAAGGGGGTTACTGGGAGGGAGGAGGTATATTGGGAGGGAGGTTACTGGGAGGGAGGGAGGGTGTATATTGAAGGGGGTTACTGGGAGGGAGGGGGCAATAGTGGTATGGGAGGGGGGACTAAATACCTGCATTCCCTGGTGGTTCCGGTGGCGATGTCTGGTTTGCAGCTCCGCGCAGTGTGCAGAGCTGCAGACCAAGTATCTTGCGAGACCCGGTCAGAGCGTTGCCGTGGTAACCCACAGCAATGCTCCGATTGGACAGATCTCGCAAGATATTTGGTCTGCAGCTCTGCACACTGCACGGAGCTGCAGACCAACGGCTACAGGTGCTCTCCGGCCAGGCAGCCTGGAGGGTCCTCGCACCTGGCGGCATACCGGGCAAGCCGTCGGGCCCCCTCCTGGTGTCAGTGACCGAGGACCTGACACAGTTTGCCATAAGGCGGTTTAGGTGGCTGCGGGGCCCCAGCCAGCACGAAACCTTAGGTGGCCGCCTAAACCACCTAATTAGAGAGCCACCTCTGTTGATGAGCAGGTTATTTAAGTAGGTTTAGTGAGATTCAATTATGTCACGGGAGTCATAACCCAACATGCAGGAAAGAGGAAACCACAAAAGGTGGATCCGAAAGACGTATTACCAAGCCTTAGAATGGCCGGACTAAACGTAACTAAACAACAAGAATCAGAGTCAAGAATAAATCAAGGACAGAAATAACAGGAATACTCAGAGTCAAGACAAAGCCGGGTCAGGATACCATAAATCACAAGTCAAATTCGAAGCCGAGGTCAGGATACCCGAAATCACGAGTCAAATTCGAAGCCTTGGTCAGGATACCCGAAATCACGAGTCAAATACGAAGCCGGGGTCAGGATAACAGAAATCACGATTTAAATACGAAGCCGAGGTCAGGATACCAGAAATCGCGAATCAAATATGATGCCGAGGTCAAACACAGGAAATCACAAGAGAATCACTAGGAGCACTAAACAAGGTTCTAACAGAAACCATAATAGGGCAATGAATGGGCTAAAAACAAGCCTTAAATAGGCTTACCTATGTTCTGATAGGTCCATGTCATCACTGTGATCCAAAACAGATTAGTCTTGCAATGATGATGTGGACACTTTAAGAATCCACATCTATAAATAGACGTCCTGCCACGCGGCCGCATAATTCAGTCAGACTGCGCGGTAGGAGGAGATCGTCTAGGATCGAGGGAGGTGAGTCTCCCTCAGTTTGCTGCGCAATTGGACCGCGTGACAGGAGGGGGTCGCCTAGGATCGAGGGAGGTGAGTCTCCCTCAGTTTTCCGCGCGATTGGACCGTGCGGCAGGAGGGGGTCTGCGCAGTTTGGTGGAGGTAAGTAATGCCACAAATTATATGTACAAGTAAATATACCAGTAATTAAATATTAAGTGGGTGAGTTTATAACTACACCTCTCATTGTACCTTTATATACGTACCTGTGCAAACAGTATACCTTGTTTTGGTGCTTAGTGTCGCTTTAAAGCCAATGTGCTCAATGTACAGAACTGAACTCTACCTGTCTTCTTTAAAGAAACAATTTTCCAGAGAGGGAAAGTTTCTCTTATTAATGTAGGCTAGAGCCAGTTATCTGTGATATATCTGTCTCAGGTTGGTAAGTTCATCTGTTGCATTGCAAGAACCAGGTAAGCCGAGATCTCAGCCAATCATTGCCATCCAAGGTTGGATAGATTGACATTAATAAAATGAAATGGAGTCAACTGCTATTAGCCACACTGAAACTACTGTCACAGGTCCACTCACACAGGGTTATCCACTAAAGTGAGACTTCAAGGTGAATTCAATGTATATGTGAAATTTAAGCCAAGAGTAGATAAAGTGAAAGCATAACTGACTTGGAGAATTGTCCCAGTTCCTCTATTTACACCTTAAATTTGAAATTCACTTTCTCACTTTGGTAAATAACCTTGTCAGTGTGTCAAATCACACTCAGGACAATTAATAGGTATAGGTTACGATGGTGATTATGAACCATTGGCACTCTGAGAAGGTATGGTAGGACATTATTAGAATCAGTAGGTATAGCAGGTGGTATTATTGGGATCAGTACATTGAGTGTCATACATCAAAGTCTCCTGCAGAGGGAGCCTTGGAGCTTCATAGGATTGTGGATCTTCTCATCTAAAAAAGAAAGGCCAGAAGTTCCATCCAGTAAGCTGTGACGGCCAGTGGTCTTTAGCAGGGACACAAATTATGCACATGGAATTAACTTGCCAACCAGTTCTTCTGATATATTTTAATAAAAAATATTTTTCAAAATAAATGATATTTTTTTTAATACAACATTTTTTTGGCTCAGAGTTATCTTTGCCAAGAATTGAGTGGTTGTGGAGAACAAGAGAACCCAACTGCAGTCAGTTCAACTGCTCTCCATTACATCAACTAAAACAAATGTACTATATTTGCTGAGCAAAAAGTGTTATGGGTAGGTGGTAATGATGTAATGATGTCAGCAGGTTGGTAGTCTGGGAGAAAATTGTTCTCCTTAACCCTAACATTAGAATTATCTCTAATTGTAGACCTAATGTTATCCCTAAAACATGTAATCATGTTACAAATCAGAAAGCTGAAGTCACTATTAAGGGAAATTAATGCCTTCCGTGCAGTGGCGTAACTACCACGGTCGAAGGGGTCGCAGCTGCGACCGGGCCCGTCACTCCAGAGGGCCTGGCCGCCACTGCGACCCCTGCGACTGTGGGCCGCCAGCAGACCTTTAGGGCCGGTGCACAGCAGCACCAGCCGGGACCCGCGGTTGCAGGCTAACCGGCAGGAGAGAAGAGATGTGCTGGGCTGCTACCCTCCTGCCGCTGTGCTCACTGAGAGAGCACTTCCTGTCAGACTCAGACGGGTACTGCGATTGCGGCAAACAGGTAAGGGGGAATGGAGAAATGGAGGGTCTGCAAGGGTGGGGGGGTGAAATGGAGGGAGTGCAGGGGAGGGGGGATGGAGAAATGGAGGGTGTGCAGGGGAAGGGGGAATGGAGAAATGGAGGGTGCAGGGAAGGGGAATGGAGAAATGGAGGCGCAGTGGAAGGGGAATGAGGAAATGGAGGGTCTGCAGGGGAGAGAAATGGAGGTGTGCAGGGAAGGGGTGGACGGAGGGTCTGCAGGGCAAGGGGGGTGAAATAGAGAGTCTGCAGGAAGGAGATAGAGAAATGGAGGGGCTGCAAAGTGGGAGAAATAAAGGGGCTTCAGGGAAAGGGTGGGGAGAGAAAAATTGAGAAGCTGGAGGGGAGGACAGAGAAATGGAGTTGTGCAGGGGAGGGGAGGGGGGAGAGAGAAATGGAGAGACACATGGAGGGGCAAGAGTGGAGGGGGAGAATGACACATGGAGCGGCTTGTGGGTGAAATGAGACACATGTAGGGCCTGGGGGGTGCAAATGAGACACTTGGGGGGGGGGGATGAGACACATGGAGGGACATGAGTGGAGGGGGAGAAAGAAACATGGAGATGCCTGGGGGGAATGAGACACATAGAGGGGCTTTGGGGGGTATGAGACAAATTAAGGGGCTTGGGGGGAATGAGACATGTGGAGGGACTTGGGGGGGAGGGAATGTTACACGTGGAGGGGCTGGGAGAAGGAAATTAGACACTTTGGGGGTATGAGACACATGGAGGGGCTGGGGGGAGGGAATGAGACACTTTGGGGGTATGAGACACATGGAGGGGCTGGGGGGAGGGAATGAGACACATGGGGAAATGAGACACATCGAGGGGGCTCCAGGGCAATTTTTGCATCCAAGAACTGGGGTCTCTAGTTACTCCTCTGCTTCTGTGGGCTCTGCAGTTATCACTAAACTCCTCAAACTTTTCTCTTGGTTTACTATAATGTCTCCAAAACTAATTAATGGAATTTATTCGATGACCCTAACCCAAACCATTACTTTAACCGTAGCCATACCCTTAACCCTAAAGCTAAATCTACTCCCAACACTAACCTTAGCAATCATTTTACAAAAAGTGCAGATTTATTTTTTTTTAAATGTGCACTTGGAGTTACACAGACCACCCCCTGTCAATCAGGCAACTGTAAAAATGGGGCTAAAAATGATATATGCAGTTCAATATAAATCTAAATCTAAAGCAGCACTATATATTGTGAAGAAGCTCCACTCACATAAGATACAAGAAAACAAAAAACAAAAAATAAAGTGCGCTGTGCCTTTAAGACCGAAAGCAATTAATGAATAATATAAATACCATATACAAGTGGATAATATTCACATAAATGACAAAAAATAAAGTGCACTGTGCTTTTAAAGCTATAAATCAATTGCTGAATAATATGAATACCACATACGTGTGTAGTAGCATAAGCGAATTGTGCTAATACAAAAAAACAAAAGTGTTACAGTGCACTAGTGATAAAACCCCACTAATTTGTGCAAAGTAGGGACAAAATGTTAATACCTTACTTTTGAGAAATTCTTGAAATTGCTTCTGTCAGAACTTCAGTGCAATTCTCAAAAGAAAAAACAGCTCATAGGGCAATATGCATAAACAATAAATATTGTGAATATATATATCATAAACACTCACAAGAGTAGAGCAATTAAGTCTGCTCTGAACTGTATTGGCATCTCAGATAATGTATATAGAGGCTTGAGGCTGCGATGAAAATAAAGATCCTTTATCAGACACTCCAATAGTTAAAAGCAGTTGTCAGACTTGTAAGTCCTCTTTACATTTCTCCTCCTCACAAGTGTAGTTGAGCCCAAATACTTGCGCCGATTATCTCCAGGCTTCAGGGGCTGTATGTACTTTCACTTGTTTCCCGTGAGGCGGGGCTTACGGCCATTGAACGTAATGACGTTAGAGCGTGATGACGCGTTTCGCCGACGTGCTCGGCTTCATCAGATGTGCTCGGATCTGAAGCACTCCAAAGGTAGGGAGGTTGGATTGATTGGACATTTACATTTTTTTTTTTTTAATTGTCAGTGTGTGTCTGTTAGTGAGTGTGTTAGTGTGTGTCTGTTAGTGAGAGTGTTCATGTGTGTCTGTTAGTGAGAGTGTTAGATTGTGTCTGTTAGTGAGAGTGTGTGTGTCTGTTAGTGAGAGTGTGTGTCTGTGTATCTGTCAGTATGTGTATGCGTGTCTGTCGGTGTATGTATGCGAGTTTTGGTGTGTATGTATGTTAGTGAATGTGTATGTCTGTCATTGTGTGTCTGTTAGCTAGAATAGGTATCTGTCAGTAAATGTGTCTGACACTGAGTGTATATATGTCTGTCAGTGAGTGTGTATGTGTGCTTGTCAGTGAGTATATGTGTGTCTCAGTCTGTGTGTGTGTCTAACACTGAGTGAGTGTGCATCTGTTGGTGAGTGTGCATGTGTGTTTGGTCGGTGAGTGTGTTTGTGTGTCTGTCAGTTAATGCGTATCTGTCAATTAGTGTGTATTTGTGTCTGTAGGTGAATGTGAGTGTGTGTAACTGTGAATGAGTGAGTGTGTATGTCTGTGGATGTGTGTTTCCTTCAAACCCCCGGCTACCAGCATCATAAAGCCACAAAATGTTCTGGTTTAAAGGCAGTTCCATCAACATGGAAATCAAATGGGCTGGTCCTTCATATTGCCCCAATTTTAGCTATTGTGTTCTTTAAAAAAAAAAAAAAAAAAAAACAACAGCAAAAAAAACTCCTTTAATTTAATGTCAAATGTTTGCAAACCTTTTATAAATCACTAAACCCAATCTGCTATCATCATTTAACTCCCAAATTAAGAAATTCACAGTTATTTCTAAATGTGTCCATGATTTCAAAAGATTGTTACTTGTCCCAGTAAACAAAATACCTGATAAAACTGGGAGCCCAAGTTAACCCAATGGGCGGTCCTATGAAATGGGGGGCGTGGTTACGGACTCTGAATTGCCAACACATATACACGTGGCACACGGTGCGACTGGAGCTGGTGCTTTCATCAGGTGAGTAACAGGGATTATAGACTCATGGAGGCGAGTGAGGATTAGTGAGTGCTGCCTGCCCTACTGAGTAGGAGTGCACAGACACTAAATGCAGATGTGTATGCATTATATATCATAATATACATATTTAAAATGCTAAAATATTTTTAAAAAAAGTTTAAATTTACTTATGTAATTATTTTTGTATTATAAGATTTTATTATAAGATTTGAGCTTGGCTGCTATGGCTGGCTGAGCTTGATAAGAGAGTAGTCCTAAAGAGCTTGGATGCCAAGTTACAAGACAACATTGGGCAGACTGGTTTGCATGTTATATCATATATGTAAATATGTAATAAATATATATTTCTATTAATTGTCATTTATTCATAATTTCTGCATGATGTGAGCAATTGGTATGTCTAATATGGCTGGCTGAGCTTGATGAGAGTGTAGTCCTGAAGCTGGGTCGTCAAGTTCTAAGGTATTTGTTATATAATAAGGAAAATATGCAAATCAAAAAGAATGTTAGATGTTGTTTATGGATTCTAATTTCCTACACGATTTGAGCAGTTGTGAAGATGGTTAAGTTGGCTGGCTGAGCATGATGAGGAAAGTAAGTAGTTATACAGATCTATATTGCAACATAATAAATATGTTTGAAGACAGTAAAATGAGAATGTA